TAAAATAATATAAATGTATTTGATTAATAGTTAGACCTACAGAGTGTAAAATAATATTATAAATGTATTTGATTAATAGTTAGACCTACAGAGTGTAAAATAATATTATAAATGTATTTGATTAATAGTTAGACCTACAGAGTGTAAAATAATATTTTTAAATGTCTGATTAATATTTAGACCTACAGAGTGTAAAATAATATTATAAATGTGAGTACTTTTAGGTTTCTGTTAGAGGAACCTGACTTGTTAAGAAGATGTTAATAGAGACAAGTTTTATCCTATAACCAGAGAACATTTTCTAACTGTTGACTGGTAAATATAAATATTCTTATTTTTTATGACAGTGAGAAGAAGTAATGAATATACTTTATTACAGCTGAAGTCATCATTTTTCAACTAGCTAAAGTCTAAGTTACAGGCTGACTTCAGGTCTGGTTTAGATCATTGTTACTTATAAATTATATATTTTTCTGGTWTAAATCTGCTGTTTTACATGATTGTTGAATGAAATAAACATAATTATTAATTCATTGTAAAAACATGACAATGTGTGAAACAGATCCAGTTCAGCTGCTGTTTATCTGTTAGTTTCTATGTTTGCTGTGAGCTGTTGTCCTGTTTGGTCTGTTTCTGCTCCTCCATGATGTCACAGACACTACCAGAGGACGGGTGGACGGGGCTCAGTCTAGTGATATTTAAGTCTATGGGGTTGTCCAAAGTTACCCAAATGGTAGGCAAAAATATTTTAGATGCAGAACCTAAGTCCTTTTTTGTTTTCTTTTCTTTTCTTACTATTTTTGGATTTACTATGTCCTGGATGACTGAGCATCGACATCAACACAATGTCTCAGCTGCCAAGCACAGCAGAATCGAGTGACATCAACCAGTGACGGTGGAGTCTGTACAACTGAAAACTCCACATAGTTTGATTTCTTGTTCAATTTAAATTGCAAGAACAGTATGATGGAAAAATGATACAATGATTTAAACACCATACAGTATATTGAAATTGGAAGATAGCCCATAATTCTTAAAGGTTTTATGATATAATTATTTACAACGCACAATTTCCTCTTCCAACATACCTGGAAAACTGTGTGGGCATCACTGGTATCTTGACCAGGATAAGGTAGAACATATCTCTTTGGCCTCACATGTAAACACTGCGTATCATCTTGAATTTGATATGGGATATATGTGACTTTTCTGACAGGCAGCAAGTTGAATATCTGGAACAAATAAACAAATAAAAACCTTGCATTAATTGGAGGAAACAAAATGCAGTGCTTTTTGTGCATTTCACCCACAGGTACGAGCATGAGAATAGTCCCAACAAACCTGCATGTTGTAAGAAGTGACTCGAGGGTGAGTGGACAGATGGAGCCTGTCAGTCAGGGATGGACACCCATCTAAAAGAGGGTCGACTTTGAACTCTACACCGTTTGCTCAGGATGGGAGACTGTGATGAAGGGATTCAACACAATCTGCTGCTTTCTTCTTTATATTGTTCTTTTTATGTTCAGTGTCCTGAGACAACGTATGTTGTGACTTGGAGATATGTAAATAAACTGAATTGAATTGAACTGAATTCAAACGCATGTTGCCTAGTGGTTGAGAAACAGTGGTGGATGCTGGTCTTTCAACAACAGGAAGCTCAGTTTTGTCCTACATAATAAAATGTGTGGGTTATAAATTCTACCCTCCGTTCCTTTTCAAGAAAATGATTTGTGACCCTGTTACAGATATTTGTTTTAGTTTATAGTATTTATTCGTTTCATTTTTAAAAACAAAACATTACATACAACAAAACAATACAAATAAAATAAAATGAAAGGCAGCAGCAGAATAAAAATATCTTATTATATCTGCTCCTATTTACAAAAAATATTAATTTCAAACAATAAACCAAATAATAAAACAAAACAAAAAATTCAACTCCTCAAGCAGTGACTCATACAAATACAAATTAAACAATTTCATATTTCTTTGACACTTTTGCTTTGACGATTTTTTTAAAGGAAGTAATTGATCCAATGCTTTTATAATCATTTTACAGATTATTCTGTAGTGTCCTGATGCATCTCAGTAATCCAGGTAAAAATCAAAGGAAAAAAAATTGTATAGGTCCTCTGGACGGGCTCTTCTTTAATGAAACGTTTCGTCTCTCTTCCAAGAGACTTCTTCAGTCTGAGAGTTTCAGGCAAA